GTCTATGGTGGGAGGCTGTTTCGGAGCTGACGAAACCATGTGAAAAGACCCTTCTGGCATGAAAACAGATACCTTAATTCTGTCAAAAAAAAAAAAAATCAAAGGATTTGAAGGTTTTCCTCAGTCTTTTGGGATCCAGTTAGGACAGATTTAGGGGGGAAAGGATCAGTCTCCTGACTGACATAAAGTAGAAATTAAAGGCAACTTAAAGGAAGAATGGAAGGTGAGCTCAGAGAATAACCTTATCTATAATAGACAGTGTAAAAAGGGCTCCGTCATAAAAATCTTCCTTTTCCCCCGTTCTGCTACTAGAGAGGCCAGTTTCAATTAAAAATCCTGGAGGAAGCAGATGGGCTTACAATGCTTTACCATGACATATGTCAACATCATAGCGCAATCCAGCTGGAGAATGGGATCTGTGTCTCAGGGGAGAAAACTCCCATATAATTTCTAAGGACACTTGTATGTATTCTGAATGGAGAATCTTCTTCATTCAGTGGCTGCAGATCTCAAACTGCTGCCAGAAACCCTCAGTTGAACTACAAGTCCTTCATTGTGGAGTGTTAGAAGACAGTTCAGAAATTAAGGAAGAGAGGCCTCCGTGTCTGATAAGGACATCCGGGTATATTATAGGGAACATCTGGTCTGCCTGAGTGCTTCCAGTGAAGCCTTTCTTATTGATAAGGCTGTCTCTCACTAAAGGCACATTCGTTCAATTTCCTTGAGCTATCCAAACTTGAGATGTTGAATGTTGAGATTCAGATGGAGGTTGGGGTTTATGAGAAAAATCATAATTAATACAGTCCTATCTTGCCCTTCTAGGAACTGGCCAAAGAATACAGTCTAGAGGGAAGACAGATACAGGTGATCTAATTAAGTGAGGAGGAATACTTCTGCTCTAAGTATTGGGATGATTCTGCTATCATTCCCAATAGATGAATTGACATACCTGGCTGATTTCCATGGAGGAAAAAAAAAAAAAATGGCTTGGGAAGCCTTTGCAGTCCTGAAAGGTTAAGATCTAAAAAATGTCATCCTAGGTCTCCCATTTGTGGTCTACCAGCCTAGAATATCTTGGGTCTCCTGTGAGTGTAGTCAGAGGAGAGAAACTGGTGTTAGTTCAGTCTGAATTCTCTAATCCCAAAGTCTGACTGCATCCCAACGCAAGAGAGGAGCACTGCATCATCCCTTTTGCTTATTATTAATATGTTCTCATGGCCAGAATGGAGTATCCTTGGAGAAACACTTGGCACAGGTTCTTGAGATGACAGCAGGTTGGTATGTAAACAGCACTTCTCAGATCCCTGTGATCCCAGGACCTATCTGCATAGGGACTGGGATTAGAAGAGCAAAGATTGGCAACATCCTTCTGCTCTCAGACAGAATTTAAAACTGATCATGAAATTACAATCTACAGAGGAATGTTGTTACTTTGGATACCTCAAACAGTCTGAAGTTCAACTAAATAGCCAAATGTGGGTAGCATATCAGGGCTTCACCACCAAGCGATTCTTCTTGGTGGAGCAGAAGGTGTAACAAGACTTAGCACTATTTCCATAGTGGGTTGTAACAAAATAAGCATCTCTCTTGTTAAAAGTGTGCTCTGTTATTCTATCTGATTGGTGTGAAGCTTGTCAAATATATAGTGTTGGTAAAAGAGTCTAGCTATTCAGGTTCCTCAAAAATGCTGCCAAATAACTTTTATTTTTAACCAAATACATCTAAATACTTAGTCATAATCAGAAAAAAGAAAGAAAAATAGTGAAGTTGTTACTGATAGTGAGAAGTAGGCAATCTAGCACAAGTTAGATTAGAAACACAAAAATCCTAATCACTCAGCAATATGAAATATAACACTAAATAGTAGTGGCATGGGAAACTCATGGGAAGGTATCTGAGATAGCAGCATCATTTATCAGGAGCGTAGTCAGAGAAGGCTGCTGCAGAGTATCATGTGATGCAGAACAGGTTCCCAAGAGACAGGCATCTCTTAGGGTTGCCATCGAGGTTCCTTTTTACCGCCTGGAGATCCCATAATGTTCCTCCAAGGTTATTGCAGATTATTTCTATCCCTTTCCCTTCTTCTCTTCAGGGTGAAGTTACATGGGAGACCCTTTTGCAGATGCTTAGGCATCATTTCCAGGATGGGGAGTGGGGAATATTCAGTCTCCCTTTGTTCTTATGGAAGAGCAACAAGGGTATCTGAAAATGGCATCTGCAAAGGTGGGGCAAGTGTTAACTGATGCCCCATGACTTGCACATTTCCAGGAACTGGCCTCTGAATTAAGTGTCTGTGGCAAAATAAAAATCATCAGGGCAAGCAGGACAGGACTCGGGGCCTATGTACACTTCGGAGACGAGTCACAATCCCCACTCCATCTTTGAATGTGGGAGGAAGGGCCCAGGGAGATCATCGTGTAGCTAAATGAAATTTTTGGGCATGCTCAACAGAAATCACAAAATGACTTTGTACTGTTCTCTGAGGATAAGTTCAATGCCTAGCATGTGCTTTTTCTCGGTTTGAACTTCTGTGGGTCAGTACTGCTTCATGACCCACTGTAATCTCCTCTAGTGATCATTGTAGGTCAGGAAAACTTGAGCATCTACACAAAGTTAGATAAGTCTCCTGACCTTAGGAAGAACTGGAAATGTGGGAGCAAGCTCCATCTTGCACTTGGAGACGGTCTACAAGTTCTTTGCAGCTAGCAATGAGTTTGCAGTAGAAATCTTATCGGTTGCGATCTGAGGAAAAAAAAATGCCAGAGACAGAGAAGGAAAGTTCTTTCTGGTGTTCCTTTTTCTCCTGAGGCTTTGAAACCCTAGCAGATAGATGGGCTGAAGCCCAACGTGGATGTGTCATGCTCCTTGCTGAGAGAGAAAAGTTCACCAAAGGTGGAAATGTTTGAAATAATTGTTACTGAATCTCCACAGAATTCAAAAAAAGTTTATACACTTTCAGTTTGTAGCAGTCTGGTCAAGTGTGACTTCTGCTATTGGAACTAAACAAAATTATTTGTGTCATTTGAAGGATATACCACTGGAGAACAGTTAATACTCTGACAGGTGTTATTAAGCAACATCAGCTGTGTTGACTTTTGTCTTAGTTTCCTTCAGTGCCACGCTCTGATCTGAAAGTTGTGTAGGTTTCAAAAATACCTTCATCTGAATAAAATGCATGAGTTTAAGGTGCATTTCTCATTCATTAGTTGATGTACTCATGAGTCCTCAGACTTGAAGGTATATTGAGCCAAGCCCAAAATAATATAGATAGCAGTTCATTTAATGACAGTATTTTGTTTAATAGTGTAATGATTAAAGTTTTAGTATATTTTTCGATGTTTAAGTGTATTTGCAGGTAATAATTATGAGCATTGAGCCATACCACTACAAAGCACAGGACCGGTTTGCCTTCTGCAGTAATTCTTTTGAAATGTTTCAACACCTGCAAATACAGCATTCCCAAAAACCACATTTGAAGGTGATGTCAAGCATTACACAGAACAGCTTGATTCAATACTAACCTTCCAAAGTAACCCCCGTATGATATGTCACATATCACACATCTGAGGTCAATGGCATTAAAGTCCCAGTTCAGACATTTTAACCAGCTTGAAATACCAAAAAATCCTATTTGCCTATTACTGTGGCATCAGGCTTACACAGGGAAAATATTGTCATCTTTATGGGAAATAAATAAAAGATCTAACCCAACCATGTTTATTCACACACAAAAAAACCCCATATCAATTAGTTTTACCTCCTAAAAATAAATGAAATGGCCCATCTCTAGAAATACCGTAGAAAACAGAGGCCTTTATCTCGTTAAGAAGCCTTTGAAAGCTTCCCAATGGGACCTAGATTAAAATCACTTAATATCCTCCTGAACAAGAATAAGTTAAAGAGCAGTCTTTAAATTCATGATGCCTTAAAAATAACAGAAAGGTACTTCAGATGTCTTAGTAGCTTTGAGCTGAGTCCCTCATTGCTGGGTTGAGGGATTGTGAGCCAAATGCCTAGCTGACGTCAGTTTGCTGTAGCTGAACTATTTCAGTTTTTCCATTAGCACATACATGGAATTTGCGACTGTGGTGTACTGCAATGGTTTTCTTCATCATTTTCAGGATAACCTGCATACCTTCTACTGATCCTAAGTCATTCTAAGTCACACCAATTAAACATTTAGATAGTAAATGATCTGGAAAAAAAATTTTTGCTTTACTTAGTGTTTAGCGTAATGGATACCAGGGCCTTCTGAATGACACTCTAGATGCTGTGGTAGTATAAATTCATAATTGTGAATGTGTTTTCTGTGCCACTGGTAGCTCTTTCAGGAGTTTATCTTGGACAAACATTTAGCACTTCATGCTTATGTCAAGCTATCTGTTCAGCAACTTCTTCTTGGATATAGCTGTTCCGTGTTACACATCTCTGAGTTAAACTAGCACTGCACAACTGCTGGGAATTAGGTTAATTTAGATTATTTTGCTATAGGTTCTTGACTTTTGTAGACTTTCATTTCAGTTCTCAGCCAGGCTGCCTTCCAGACAATTGTCCAGATGAGATTGTTGGGGCAGGTGTTAACTGTGGAAACCTACTTAGTATTAAACATACCCGTCTCACTGCTGCTGACTTTGGAGACGGTACTTTGATATCTTTCTTTCAGGTTATTGTTCTTCACAAAAGACCTAATTGAAAATATCTGTCAAGTCATGTCTCTGGTTTCCCTCTTCTTTCCCCCCATTAATTGGACGTGTATTGTGTTTGTGTGGGAAGGAAGGAGGCTCTATAGCGATACAGCAATATTGCTGGGAAAAGAACATTAAAATGGATAAAGGGATTTCCTAGTGGTATAAATACCTGCACACGACCTCCCTGTGCTCTGGAGCCCTTCTGTATATGTATATGCAAGTAGAAAGAACTGGAATAGAGTTTGTGCTGCTGTGGATCTTTTCTCTTAGAAATTAGGAGACGGTGACTCTGTCTTTCAGCTGTTTGAGGGTATGACTTGCCAAGCGTTTGCTTCATCTGACACTTTTGTACCCTTGAATTCTGACTCCTCTCCTTCTCTGCCTCTGATAATGCATCACAGCGCCGCAGAATGCCTGCCAGTTTCTAACCATGCGACCAATGTTGTGTCTACAGGTACTTTTTAAATATAATATTACTCTCCGTAACTCTTATTTGTAAAGCTTTTAGATGACGTGTGATCATCCAGTTCTGCAATATTTAAAGTATTTGGTGTCAATGCTACGTGGGATTGGTATTACTTTCAGGCAGAAACATTTTCACAAGACTGTGTATAAATGAGCAAATCAAGAGGACCCAAAATGTTTGTATTTTAGCCAAACTTGTAGCTATCTCTCAATTTGTTACAAGATTAGGCTAAGGTTTGCTGTCACCACCCTAACTTAGTACAGATGCAAACACGATAAAACTTTCTTGTGATTATGTAGTGTTCAGTGGCAAGTATCATGTAAAATAAATTCAAATTTGTTTATTATGTGACTACAATTTTTTAATAATATAAATTATTTTAAATAGGAAGTGTATTTAAAATAAGTCAGGTTTAAGCACGATTTGAGAAATCTCGCCAGAAGGAAAAGGATGCTTTCCTAAATATGTTATGTAGTGAATAAAGATAAAAGTGGAATGTTCAAAAAGGGTAAGAGAAGTCTCATCTGTATTTTGTAATTTTATGTGTTTGTGTATATAACCTAATAATTGCATCTGAGTAGTAGGACAATGCAAATGATGAATTATCCCCTAGAGAGAGAGTTAGTTTTCTCGTAGCCTCAAATCTGCAGAAGTGATATTCCGGAATATAGAACTTATTGATGGTACATAAGCTTTCAAGAATTGAGAAAGAAATAGCCAAGAAACCACTCTTTTGCTGAAATGGATTACAGCAGTATCTTGTTAAGACTGCAGGTGAAATCCTTACCTCAGTGCTGAAATGTACTGGAAATAAAATCTTTTAATAATATAAAAAAGCACCTAAGTAATGTAATCCTCTAGGGGAACTGAGCAGTAGTGATAATGTGATCTTACACATTGAGCAGGAAGTTCAAAATATTGTAACATGGGTTGGGTGGTGGCGGTGGGGAATACAATTTAGTTTGTGTATGAGGCGAAATTTCTATATCTGTATCTTAGTATTATTTTCTAAATTGCTTATTTTTCCATTTGACTCATAACAGAAAGTATATGGTGACAGACAGTATTACGAAAAGCTTTTGCAGGTCTGCTTGAGATTTGGCTTCTAATATTTTGTAGTTACCACGCAAGGACAAATAACTCTGTAGTTAGTGGGAGTTTTGTCTGCAGCATCACGTCTTGTAGGTGACCCTGTAAGAGTAGAAGTAGTGACAGAGGGTAGCATTTATAATGAGGAAAGCTTTCCAAATTTCCTATATAGATTCAACTGTTTTAATAAACAATGCCATTCTAAGTGAATGCATCTAAGGAAAACTTATGCGAAAAATAGATGTGAAAGAATTTGGAATCATGACTTATTTTAAATGTCAAAACTCATTAAAATGCATGTGGTAATTCTACATCATAAAATACAGGTGAGTATACATCTGGCTAAATAATATACCACACCATATGGATAATGTTCTGCAGAATGCTAAAGACTTTCATTTTTATGACTTAATTTAAATAGCATTATCTTTACCACCTACTATTAAATCCGCATTAGCAAGTTAGAAATGCCTTTCTTATGCCTAAGAAGGATATAGTCTATGGATTATGAAGTAATAATAGAAAAAACACCAGTAATCACTTAGATTACCTGAATCTTATCAGAACAGGAAAGCTGTATTGCTCTAAATGCATTAGTATTAACACAGTCTCTATTTTGGGTGCAGAATAGCATAAACAAGGCTGATTATAATAGAGTTTATATCAGTATACATATATCTAAACAGGACCTTTTACTATTGTAAAAACAGAAGTTCTAATCCCTAATGAAATATATTGTTTTGAACAACTAGAATGTGTGCTCTAAATTGCAGTTTTACTTATCTGAATGTTCACAAACATGATATTTTAATATTACCTTTTATAGTTGTTGTCAGAGAAGACAGTATATGCACTTCTTTTGCCTACTTATGCGTGAAAAACAGCCACAATTCTAATTTTACGTTCAGAAAAACTCGTCTGATTCTTCAGGTATTGAAATTTACTGAACACAGATCGGAAACACACACCTTTCCCTTTACGTGAGGCAGAACTGCTGATTTTTGCTCTCCAGAACTTGCTGAGGAGAACTGAGAGGGTGCAGGGAGTAGAGCAAACTCTATGGAATCTTTCATAATGGAAAGAAATTTTATTTACTGGAATAATATAACCTCTTCATTGATTTTCTTGAGCAGCTCTATTGGTGACACTAGTGAGGCCAAGCTTACTATCCTGTATCTATTTCTGCATCTCTCTGTCAGATTTTTGCTACTCATTTTGCTGCCTAGAAGACCCCGTGAAAACAATGGAGATAAATTCATTGCCTTCCTAGATATCTGTGTTCACTTTGAGATTTACATGACAGTAGAGTTGATCAAGTTTCTGGGAATGCAGAAAATGTTTTCATGTAAGAATAAATGAAATGGTACTTGGAAGTTGGGTGGAGGGAGGAACCAGTCTCCTCCTGTAGAGAACAATGCTTCCCTTGCTTAGCAGTATATCTAAACTGTGGTTATAGGCATAGATTACACTAAAAATAATGCGTCAAAACCAAGGCATGAGTATTGCTGGTCTTGGCTCAATGGGGATCATGCTGTTGATACTGGCAGTCTCATCTGGTGAGACATGGTCAAGTGTTCTGGGCTTCTAGCAGCCTTAACTTGATGGTTGTGGAGTTAAATGCTTAATACATGCACAGAAAAACTAAATACAAAGATGTAGTCTACCTTTGAATTGAAAGGATGTATCTTGAATCCTCATACATTTTCTTACCAGTCCCGTCTGTTTTGTCTTTGATCCAAACTCCTAAATGCTCCCGTGTCCACTTTGCCATGACGACTTTGGGAAACACATCGGCAGGCCTTCATTATTCTGTGCCTTCCTGTCATTATGGAAATCAACCATCTACCTATGGGGTGATGGCAGGTAAGTGAGAGATTCTCGACTGGGTGAGCAATTAGCACGCTAGTTTGGTCAGTTTTCCTTTAGAGGGATGCATTCAAGACAGTTTCTTAAAAAGGACAGGACTGAGGTTAAGACATTAGCAAAGGAGTTAGGAAATCAGGTGTCAGTGTCCAGAGTTTCCCCAAACCTCTGCATTTCTAGACAAATCACTTTGTGTTTCACTTCTCTGCTACGAGATTGAGACAATGCTACTCTTCGCTCATCTGATGTCCATTTTGTCTGGTCAGCTCATCACCTTTGAGGGAGCAGGACTGATTTATCTAATATGTCTGTGTAGTATTTAGTGTATCGGAGCCCTAACTCCTTTGACACAAAAAGTGGCAGTTTGAGTTTGCAGTTAATAGGTACAGCCATCAGAATTGTCGCCAGGCTCAGATGGAAAACCACAAAGCTGTGGGTCTGTGAAGGGGTCTGTGCTATGTTTGTTGAGGTTATTATAGTTGCTGCTATATTTTTTGTCATAAAAACATCAAGGAAAATGCCTTGCACTTAGGATGATTAAGTGTGTTTAAATGAGCATTAACCTTGTAGATGCATGATAACTCCCACGGGCTTTGGGATCAAGATCTTGAGGGCAGGGTTTGAAAGAGTGAGTTAGGATCGGGAAGAATTATTTTTTGCTTTTTACCAGATTAAACACATTGGGATAGTCTCCAAGGGCAGAAAGAAATAGTTTCCATCAACGTATGCTTTTTCCAAATCTCATAAAGCTTCCTTCACTATGCACAAACGTCCAAATGCTCCTATTTCATTATTTATTAATGTGTCGGTTGCAAATGTTCCTGGAATTGTTCAGATCCCTGGGAGAAGTCCATAGAACAGGTATTAAACAAAAGGTAGCACTCAGAAGTCTACTTTGTTCCACTCTAAAATAAATATACCTACATCTTTCTCTTCTCTTTTTACATCCTTCTTTTTTAGGCATCAAGCCTGCAACTCCAGAGATGCTGTCAGCAAGTCTCTCCCAGAGTCGCATCTTACAGACATGCAGCATGCCGCATCCCAATGTAGTAAATGGTGTCAGCACTTTACAAAGCAAGTCCTTCTTTTTTAGTCTTCTCTCTTATTCTTTGGAAAAATCTTTTTTTGTGGTTACACTATGTGACACCTACAAAATATTTCTGTGGAGTTAAAACCTCTGACTCTGATGAGAGTAGTTAGGGTAGCGAAGAAGACAAGAAAAATAAGATGAGGCAGGGGAGGGATGTTGATGAAGGTCCGAGTTCCACTAAAAATTTCTGTGTCATTTAGAAAACTGAGACGAATGTTCTGAGGACGTGGATTTTATTGTCTGCTACAGATACACTGAAGAGAGTTAATACTTCTTGTTTTTCTCTCAATAAATTTATCTTTTTTCCTTCATGTCAGAAACACTCTAGCTGTACATACAATATGTAGCAAAAACGAACCTTGACTCTTAGTTGAATCTCCTTGTGAAGTCTGATATTTGTGAACAATATGTAGCATGAAATAGTTTTATCCTTGAACAATTTCTTTTTAAGCTGGAATGAATAGCGAATATGTTGTTTTTCTCTGGGCTCTTACCTGTGTGCTTTCCTCAAACAAATTTTATCCTAAAACTGAACCATAATAGTATCTTGTCTGAGCATCAAATGGCATTTTCATGGAAATATTCTTTATATCAGAAAATAGAAACTGGCACATTCTAGGTGGCTCAAAGTGGCACAAACCCATCAATCTCGCTGTGCCACTTAATATGAGCTGAGGCCCCGGATTGTTATTTGTCTAAGTCTGGACCATTTATCATCCTATTTGAGTGTATCACAGTTTGCCTGTGAAAAAGGACGGCTGTGGCCTGTGGTTCTGTTTTCACATATGGGGACCAGAGAGAGACTAGATCTCCGAAGTCTTTATGCCCTAACTCTTGGACAGTCTTTCACCTATGCTATATGAGATTACAGACTTTGATTATGAGGTGAAGAAGGCATGTTTTTGTTGTGTAGCATTAGTGACTAATGGTGCTGGGTGTTGTTTTTGGTTTTGTTCAGGTAGCCTGACCCCTTGCCTTTATAAATTCCCTGAGCATGCTCTGAGTGCTGGTTCCTGTGCTCTGGGCCACGGCTTCACGCCTATGCACCAGTCTGTTCTTGGAGACGATCCCACAGCCTCCGACTTCAAGCAGGAATTTCGCAGGAAAAACAAGTCTGTTGAAGAACCAATAGACATGGATTCCCCTGAAATCAGGGAACTGGAGAAATTTGCCAATGAATTCAAATTGCGGAGAATTAAGCTGGGTATGTGTCTTTTTTGTCAGCTAACAAAAGCCTGAAAAATTCAAATGAAAGCCCAGTTATTTCTGAATGTTTTATAGTCTGGTCTATACAGTTGTTTAATCACAACTTTAGTCCTGCCTTGCAGTGCCAAACTTTCTCCACTCCTAGAAGACTTGCGCAGAATTAATAAACTTAAGCTTTTTGCAACTTAGTACGCAGAAAGTGACTTTAAATGTTCCTAGTATTTAAATTATTTCTGTCCTCCTTAGAAGTGGAAAGAACATTTTGCTGTTCATTAAACTACATTCAGTAGCGGCCATGTTATATTGCAAAGCCCCAAGATTTCTAGAGCTTAGGAGAGTGCATGTTCTAGTCTCTTATATGCATTCTCTTCCCCGTGATGTACTCCGTTCACAAGAGGGTGCAATGTCATTTCAGTACACAATATGGATAGCCATGACATCTGTGGCAAACCTTTCATACCATAAGAAGCTTCTTTTCCTGTTTTATTTTCTCGTGCCATGACACGGGTACAGCAGCAACTGACTTTTTCGTTGCTCTCTGATAACTACTGGGGATTGTGTGAGGTGCACTGTATTGGCTGGTTTCTGGTGCGTTGTTGGCCCTTCTTTGGGCAAGCTTAGCTGAGGGCAAAGGTGGACTGAACACTTTCTCATCTGCAGGGATTTTTTTTCCGTTCCACACAAAGGTTGAGGGACATGGTAAACCAAAAGCCTGGCCCACCCTTGTTTGAGCTATCCTGAAAAAAATATCATCTAGTGCTGCAGATTCAGCCCTCTTAAGAAAATTGGGTACTTTAAATTGAGAGTTGTAATTTTGATATTATCTGTTATAACGTTACATTGTATCATTAAAAATAGGGCATCCTTCTACAAAATCCAGCTTTTTAAATGTGAAAAAAATATATAAGGTTGTTAGAGGTATCTATGCATTATCTCAACAGCTAAAAAGCTATTATGTTCCATTTGCAGTATAAAAATGAGAATTAGAACAGAAACTTACAGTTTGAAATAATATTTGCAATGTAGGCATTTCGCTGTATGTCATGACTATTTAATATGTCAGCCATAGCATTGGGACGATTTGCTAGGCCCCAAGCTATTAATCACCGTTATTATTACAGCATCTTGATCCTCAGTCTGTAAGGTAGCAAAACTTCCTCCAAAGTAAACAAATGGCTCAGAGACTGTAAGACTGGGCTTAATACCCTGATAGGGAAAAATAAAATTGGCACAGGAAAACTAATCTGAGGTTGAGCTTTACAAGGGAAGACAGATTTAATACGGGCTGTAGGTTTGAAACTGTGAGACACAGAGTTAGTGCAATTAAAACGGAGGTAAATAGCCACCTCGTGGACGCATTCGGCATCCAGAGAGACTGTGCCCATTCTGGTGCAGAGGAAGAAAGGGAGGAATAGAGGCTGGATTCCTGAACGTGGCTGACACGTTCAATGCACTGAATGGGGAACTGCTCTTTATGAAGTCAGTACCTGCATATAAACTGCAGCACTTCTCCGATCACTTTACCTTAGTCATCACAACAAATAACAGGAGACCAGAGACGCAGATGGAAATTAGCATATTGACATAATATCATGTATAGTAGTAAAAATGTGGGGTCTGGATCCTTCTCAGACCCCTAATCTCAGAACCTATAAACCTACACTGAAATCAACAGAATGACTCAACGTAGCACTGAGGTGCATTCAAAATCAGCTGCAGAGACCTTTGCAGGAAGATGATCCTTCATGCTGCCGCATGCACTGTTCTTAAGAGTCAGCGATGAAGGGATAAGTGTCTTAAGGAAAGTAATTCACAGTAGGAAGCTCCAAAGTGACCTTTTCCTCTTCATTTTTGACAGGTTATACACAAACCAATGTTGGAGAAGCGCTGGCAGCTGTACATGGCTCTGAATTTAGCCAAACTACTATTTGCCGGTTTGAAAACCTGCAGCTGAGTTTCAAGAATGCATGCAAACTGAAATCAATCTTGTCCAAGTGGCTGGAAGAAGCAGAACAAGTAGGAGGTAGAAATTTGAAACCCTCTTGAAACTGATTTGTATTTAGACCTGAATCCTCTACATATGTTGAAGGACTAGTATATGTCTTCCAAAGGCTAAGGTTTTTGTTTTACCAGCTTCAAATACAAAGGTGTGTTGATGGCCTATATTAAGTTTTGGTAGGTTTTCGGGTGAGCAAGGAGGAGCAAACAACCTGAAATGCATGGAGGGTACAAAACTGCAGAACCATCACTTTACCTAATGGTTACCATTCCCTTTGGTACCATTCCAGCAGACTAGTTCCACTGCTGTAACATAAGTCAGAGTTGTTACCATTTCTTTAGGATCCACAGGACAGCACATTTAAGAGACTACTGGGATTCATCTCTAGACAGGGACTCTTCCTTCCAGTCCCTTGGCATATGTGATGTGGCCATGGGAAAGGATTTGAGCTCAGCTTGAGCTTTTTAAGCCCCTGACAAAGAATAGTATGACACAGAGGTTTTGGATGTGACCTTTTTGCCACTGGAGGATTTCCCTTCCGTATGTCCAGTTAATTCCCAGTTGTGGGAAGAGTACTAGGGTGGGTTCTTTGGGCAAAGTAGTTTAGAAGAAGGTTTTCTGATTTAAAGGAAATGGGCTGTTTTAAAGTACAGCCTTTTCAGCTGGATGAATTATGATGATGGGAAGCAGTATGCCTGGACATGACAGTGAAAGCCAGGACTACAACTGTGCAGCACTCAGTATGGGAAGGGAGATGACATGACCTTAATGCAGTTTTTTGGATGTGCCACAATATTCAACCACAGGGAACGCTGTTAAGTAGCTGCTTTTGCCACATGCTTCAGTTTGCTTTGAACCAAATACGGAAAGTTTCCCTTCACTATTAGCGCAGTAGAAATCAGAGGCTCTGCTACTCTAGTCAGCATAGTGTAAGAATCACCTGTAAGGGGTTTGCAATGGGTAGCATGGGTTGCCTGACTGTGTGAGGGCAGGTTCATACTTGAGGAGCAGGGAAGATCAGGCAATCTCTGAGAAGTGAAGGGTAGAGGGTCAAAGGTTGAGTTGTCCATCCAAGAGGGAGGTGGAAGCAGCAAAGGAATAAATGGGGGCCAGGGCTGGATTTCTGAGATAAGAGGGTGAGGTAGCTGAGGAGTATGGAAAGGGACTCCATCTCCCTAGCACCTACGCCACAGGGGTAGAGGAAGAAAATGAGGGTATGTAAGACAAAGGGGTTTCTCAGGTATGTAGGCACAGAAGCACAGAACCAGTGCTGCTTGCCTGTGGTATACCATTTTTGCTCATAATCATTTATATCTGGAGTTAGACTAGCCATGCAGCATCCTAAGGAAAGAAGCGTTACTGCGTGCAGTGCCCTTCTTATTTGGCAGCAGTATCTGTTGCACTTTCTTCTGTCTTAAGGGACTTTTTTTTCTAGTGATAATTGTGCTTGAATTCCATTCTCTGTGGAAGGTAACTGCCTGTTTTGGGGTTTTTGTTTTGTTTTGTTTTTAATACAGCTTTATACAATGAAAAAGTTGGAGTCAATGAGCGGAAGAGAAAGCGCAGAACCACCATAAGGTAACAAATACTTAAGGCGTAACCTGTTAGAAATCCCTTTGGCTAAGATGCTTCTTTTTGTTGGTTTGGAAATCTAAATGTTATTTTTTATTAGTGAATTTATATAGCTAGTTGAAAAAAAATTATTCTGAAACATTCCAGTGGAAAATATAACAATATAAACCCCGCCTAAAAAACCAACTTGCTGAAAATATACTACATTTCCCAAGTAAAGACTTCTTTTCAATATAGGACAACATATTTTAGTGTGAAAAAAATTTTCTAACCATCTCAATTCTGCCACATCTTTATGATGTCTATATAGTGAATAAGATATCAGAGCACCCTTGTTTTCATTTTTGGGAGATTCTACATTATACCAGATGAAATTGCATTATTTTGACAGACAATTATGGTCTGGAAAGTTTGAGGGAAAGCTCATTGCACATGGCATAAGACCCCCATCCCTATCCTCTGTCACATGATTTTTTTCGAGCTTCGAGGAAGCACTTTCGTGATATAAATGGAAAGAAGGAAATTGTTCTAGGAACTTCTCCTGTTTTTTTTTTTTCATCTCTCGCGGCCAACATCTACCAGCTTTAGCCCCAACTCCATGCAGAAATCAAGTAGGTTGAGAAATCATGTTATAAAAGCAATTACTGAATAGGCAAAAACAGAACATGATGAAAACAGTGGTATGGTACTTCCTTCTCCTTTAGGTATTCCAGAGTCTTGTCTTTGGTGAAGAAGGGATTCACCAGGAGAGATTCCAAGGGGCTCTAGTTTTTTTCCACAGAAGGGGAATTTGTCTGCCAGTGGGCACAATCTAATGCTGTTGGGCCCTTCCTCTTCCAGTAAAGCACCTATTCTTTGAACATTTCCTATGCACAGTTCTAGCTCCCAGAGGGGCAGGTTGCTCTATAATCCCACAGTCTCAGAACCCCACGGTGACAACACGCCTTTTCCTCTCACATTCAACTTGAGATTTCCTTTCTGAATCATGTTGCCTTTGATATAGGGAATAAAATGAGGGCGTGATTTCCTGCCAGCTTTCAAAGTATTCCTCTAAGGGGATGCTTCTCAGTTAGGAGAGAACTGGAGGTGGGAGATACTCGCTGCTCAGATCATGGCACCTCACAAGAGAAGAAGTATTACTCTTGGGAGGCCAGTTTCTCCTCTGGGCTTTCTCTCCAAGCTGGTAAGGATTGGAGGGGCAATGCTAAGCCCTTGCCTGTTCTCTGTAGTATGACCTGCATGAGGTGTCAGTTCAGAGTGTCTCTATTTTAGGTGTTTTTCCTTGGCTGGAGAACCCACTGGAGACTGTTGCTCTTAAGGTTGTGGGTTTTGTTGATTATGTTGCTTTTTTAACAAACTACTGAGAAAATCAGTCCTCATATTAAGCATCTTCAAATTATTCCTACTTTTACACCTAACATCATTGCGCTGGGAATATTAAATATGTCAGGTTATCAAAGATGCAGATAATGGAGGGAAAGTTCAGGACCATAGCAGATACAGTAAGAAAATCTTACTTTTTCTTTGAAGGCCCCAATTTGGCCTCAGAAGGGCTTCCTTCTTTGAAGGGAGATGGCCTTTATCTGAACTACAGCCTTACTGTTAGCTATTCTTAGTAGGTGTCTGAAGGCAAACTAGAGGAAAAACAGAAGTCCCAATAACTAAATTAGGTTAGTCATACCCTGAGCAAAATCTCATTAATTTGAATGTGCAGCAGCTATTTTATTTTCTACTTTGATAGAAAAACTGGTAGTCAAAAATGATGACAATTCTGTACCTGTGTGTATGCGGAACATCACACTCTTAATTTTGGTAATGTTACCAAATATTGCAAAATAAACCAATAAAATAAAAGAATAAGAACATATTACAGATGAAATAGTGAAATTACTACAACTCCAGCAGATCTTTTGTATATTTTTTTAATGGAAATACCTGCACCTCATCTCCAGAATAATGCATAAACTGCCATCTTGTGTCCAAAGAAATTAGAGCTACTGATGAAGCTACCTTTGGATGCATCTTGTTGTTCGCACACAAGCATGTTGCAGATACTCATTGTTTTCTGAGAATATGGAACATAGATATGGAACAAATTCCATTTGAAATTTAGGAAAGATAGTAGTCTTAACTTACTCAGTTTATTGAACCACTCAACTTTGATCACTGCTGACTGCGAGGATTGGGTTTAGGCAGATTTTTAGAAAACGTAATCATTGATAAAATGAATTGCTGCAATCTCTGTGATTGCTAGAAATACTATAGTGTCCTCTCCATACCAAAAAGTGGCATGCAGAACCTGATAGAAAATGCTGTATTTCTCACATGATGGCTGATGGAACTCTTTTTGTTAGTAAACCTGAGTGACACAGCATAGTTATCCTTGTAATATGTTTGTGTCTGTTGGACTCCTACAACACCACTGCAACGGGAGTATAATGTGCATCCAGCTTGTTCCGGTTCATGTAATCATATTCATGTCTAGTTAGTAGCTATATCTCCAAGGGAACATCAGGAAGCACAAACAAGAAGCATGATTACCATTAAAACTACCCCAAAGTTTATAGTATCTTTCCCTTTAAATTACTCGGTGCTGAAATTCTACATGATGTTACAGTGTCCTCATCAGCAAAAAACTGCAGTGCACTTTAATTTGGGTTTTCATTTACTTAGCAAAAGAGGAAACAAACCAAATCAGTATCTTCAATGCTCTTACTTGACTCTCTCCTGAAATAGCGGCAGAAGCTTGAATGTGTCAGAAAAGTTTTTAAAGATGAAATTTTATCCCTTCATCCAGTATTGCTGCCAAAGAAGCCCTAGAGAGGCACTTTGGAGAACAAAGTAAGCCTTCTTCTCAGGAAATTATGAGGATGGCTGAGGGGCTCAATCTTGAGAAAGAAGTTGTGAGAGTTTGGTTTTGCAACAGAAGACAAAGGGAAAAAAGAGTGAAGACAAGTTTACACCAGAACACCTTTAGTTCTATTATCAAGGAACATCATGAATGCCGGTAAAGCTTTCTCAAGTGTAGCTGTGGATTTCCATTATGTTTTTTTTGGTGTACTTTATAAAGTACTTTGTTACTTAAAAAAATCAGTAAACCACTTGTTTTCTTTACGAGCTAGCAAGATTCAGATACAGTATGCTGTGGAAGACTTGATTTTAATGTAAAAGGTTGGCAACAAATTAAACGCTACTGCATATATTTAAAGAGTGGGAGGCCACTGCTTAACTGCAAGGAACTTACTATGCATTGCTGAACTAGAAATGTTTTATGAGTTGCACATGTAGTTTCCCTGTGCTGTGCCTTTCTTGCATGTGTGGTAAATTTAATGATTAATAGAGAACTCCATGCAGTTTAACCTAAGCATCAGGAAACAGAAATTTTTGCTATATATGAAGAAAGGTTTGGTATCAGTGGCTATAGTTTTGAGAGAATTTTGCCTCTGCATGCCCATGTATGTGCTATACTCCCCCCCAAGATAATTAGCTAATATTTGTAAGATTGCAGGCTGCTAGGCACATTGCAGGGTCCCATCTCCAGCAGCAAACTCCGAGCTCACTAAATTGAGCAACAGTGAGAAATTAGAACTTTGAAGAGCAGAAGGTGAATAAGTGACTTTAAACTTGCAGTGGCAACATTGCTAAAAATCTAGTTATGGCCAAGGATGGAATATACTTACGGGATCTTGTGGGAATGTTGTCAGTAGATCCCAGAGAGCCAGGAGGGCAGGCAGAGAAATGCTAACTGAGGACTGAAGTCTTTCCAAAGAATGGATAGCTACCCACTTGAAACGGATGTATACCTCTGAGTCAAGCATTTTAGGTAACTTTATTGTATATGTTCAGGATGAAGACATTAAAGATGTGCCATAATTGCTGTCTTACTATTTATTGTAAAATAAGCTTACCCCCACCAAGGTGTCAACACAGTTCCTAATGCATGCTCTGTCTCCATATACCACTTAAATAGATGCCTTAAATAGATGCCAAGTAGAAGTGACATTCCTTTTATTCTAGTTACCAAAGGCCATTGTTGTGAATTTAGTATATGCCTTAAGGTTTGATTTGGCTAGGTTTAGCTATAAAAATTAGGATACAATTTACCTTGTGTTGGCCTAAAACTCAGTGGTTTGAGGCAAATACCTAGAGATTTATCAGGGTTTTACTTAGGGTTTTCTGTGTTCTGTATTTTTCCTGATTAAATCCATGTGTGGAGACACTTATTTCAAAGACAGCGTGCATTAAGCTACAAAAAGAAGGCCCTTGTGCTCTGAAATGAGTATCCACACAAAGAAGTTATTGCACTGTGAACTCCCACTCTCTTACACCCCAGTAACTAAAAATAATCCCTTATTTCTCACCTCCTAGCCTAGAGAAAAAAATCAGGCAAAAAACAGTGCCAGAGCTCCACCTATCAGAAAGGCAGACACCAAGGAGCTAGATGAATGACTTTAGTACTCACCAGGGATAGATTATTGAGCTATTTCATCAGCCCTGCTCATTGTTATTAGAATACCCCATTACCGTATATGTGTTTTAGACTGTTTTCCCAAGACTGAAATTAAGAGAGTACATCATAGAAGTGGTAATCACCAGATAAATTTTATTTTTCCATAAATCAGACCTGATGATTTAGAAAATGCCTAGATAATAGGCCCACGGAAAGCAAAGCGATGTTCAAGATCGCTTAGGATCAGCGTGCGCAAGTTAAGTGTTCTCACTCTAGTGTATGTTAAATTATGTCTGATGGCTATTATAGTGACCACAGGCATGTTCAGCTGTGGAAACTAGGCTCCTGGATTAAGAAAATTCATTTTTATGGCTGAATTGCATTGTTATAGCCCCTTGATTTAGAAGAAGTTTTCAATTTCATAACTCAAAGGGGAGAAATTATGCTATGTGTTCTCTTCTAACTGTTCTCTCCACTAGTATAGCTAGCTCACTTGTTACAGCAGAGTAAGACTAAGCCTTAGACTTCACCAGTCCCATGCTGTGTTGACGGATCATGAAGTTTTCAAAAAGATTAAGGGTAAATCCAGTTGAAAAGATTAGCATTCAATGAATGTGGTGACATTCCTCTGTGTACCTTGTTATGTAATCTAGTGTTACATATGTCAAAACTACTGTCGTATATACACTTTATTTATATTCTAAGTTATTTTGTTGATTAAAAAAAGGCTTCTTAAAATGCTATAAGCCTGTCCTTTCCCTGCTCCCCCAAATAAAGAATTCATATGTATATGACATTCCAAGTAACGGTTTGTAGTTCTGTTTTGGTAATACTTTACTTTATTTAGTTGTGTATGATGCTGATGCCTGTTCCTTCTAGCACGCTGCAATAGTTAATCCAAGAGCAGATTTGTAGTAAAGTTGTGCTATCCATTCTTCCAAAAAGTTTCACAAATGAAGGTTAATTTGAGAAGCATACCAAAATAAAATGCAAGGTCACACATAATACCATGGTCTTGCAAAAGAATGACAAAAGGCTAAGTGGAGAAAGTGGCTACCACCTAAACACATGTAGTTTTTTCCAATGGAAATCCTAACAAAGTAGAGCAGAAATGTTTAAAAAAAAAAAAAAAAGATGAAATCAACTTAATGTGTTGCAGCTGCAGCCTTCAGACTTAAGAGATTAAGTGGTAATTTGGGCTCTTCTCTAGGAACAACTTTTTCACTGGGTAGCAGCTGCCAATTACTCTTGATTGGGGTGGGGGGTGGGGGAAACCTGGATCACTGCTGAGGAGCAGCTTTCTAAGCCTGGCAATAAAAGAGTTGAGGTGGCCATTTGTATTTGACTAACACAAGGTGCACTGTTCTTCTGTGAATTGGTATTTTTTTTTTCTTGTTCTTATTTTTCCCATGGTAACTTTAAGCAGTGAGTTAAAAGCAGAATAGAGGACAAAAATCAAAGACATTATGCCAATGTATAAATCTATGGCTTCACCTGCCTCTTTCATCTCAAGGATACAACAGACCTAAGAGAAGGTCCCAGTAAAGGCAAAGAAGATGATGGAAGGTAAGAGGAATAACTGATTAAGCTAGGACTCTGCCTCTCTTCTAGACTAAAAGACACACGTGTGAAACATTACAGAAGTCTGTTAAAACATGAGTTGTACTGAAAGCCTGGATGGAGATAGGCTGTTCACCATCTTGCCTAATAGAAGAACTAGGAGTTAATGTGTGAAGCTAGAAAGAAGCTTGAGAAAACAAAAGCTGTGCTTCTTAACGTGGTGGGAATTTGATCTGTGGAACTCCTCTGCCAGAAAATGTGGGTGTCAGAAGTTTATTTATATGCAGAAGTTTACAGATGAGAAAGCCATTCAAAGTTGTATAGACAGAAACTACATCTGACTCTGGAAGTTCCCTAAACAGAAAATACCTAGAGGCTGGAAGAGATATTAGGGGAAGAATAATCTATGCTTATCTTGTGCTCATATTTTCCTGGGTATCTGTTTATGGAGCAGGATTCTGGATGAGCTGGACCTTGGTCTGTCCCAGTGCAGCCATTCTTAGGCATATTAATAAACACATTGCTCCTGGATGGAAGAGTTCCACATTTGGCTGCTGTTAAGTTGTCAACAAGGATAAAAGAGTTTGAGAATCAAGTATTTCATTTAGTCCACCAAGACTGACTGAACAGGAAGCTGCTTTTTAGTAGTGGATGCAATTTGGGCTATAGACAGATGCAAAATACTGATTATAATTGAAATACAAGCAATGCCTGGAAATCTGTCTGATTTTAACAGTGATTAAAAGGATAAAGTGCACGCTTCATTTAAAATGGAACACAAAACTTGAGTGTTCAACCAAAATAAAATCAGTAATATTGTCTACCTAACTTCACATTACAGTTTCTCATTCAGTGCCTAACAGCAGTACCTGGTTGCCCAGTTACAGGTAGGAGATGCAAATTTGATCAACAAAGTCTGTTGAAAGTTGAGTTTCAGTCAGAGGCCCACAAGTAACTTCAAAAAACATTGCACTGCTCTACAGCTCAAGCCAAAGGAAAATATATCTGATTGGGAATAAGTGCTATTAGAAACAAACCAAAAAACCCAGGATAACGATTAGGATTGCAGATTGGACCCATTCTCTGACCTGAGCTGCTGGGGTTTTTTGTTGCTTTAAGCTTGTATTTTAACACTTTGGAAGGCAAGGAAAGGAAAAATACTGAGGATGGGAGCAGAGCTGGTACCAAGTTTCAACTGTCATAGCTGTAGAGCCTGAGGAACAGAACTCTCAAAAGCTATCCACAACCACAAGTGGTAATAAGAATTTTGATCTAAAGGAAGCTACAAAGTCAGCTTCAGGACCCAAATCGAATCTAACAGAAGTGCAAAGAAAGATGATGTATAAGACTAACCCTACAGAGGACAGAGTCACTGTGGAGTAAAAAGCCTTTTATTAGATTTTTACAAAATAAATTGTATAAAAAAAAATTCACCTCATATCAGATGTATGCAATATATAAAGTTACACATTCCTACCCACTGCCTCACACATTCACGGTTTGGCCCTTACTTCCTCCAAGGAGAAAGAGCTCCTGGATTTCTAAGTCAAAACCCAGGTGAAGGCTCACCTATGTTTTTTCTTTTTCTGCTGACTTCAATCCTAAAAAGCAGATGGTGTGATGACAGTAGATTAATAGAGGTTATGGATTTCTGCTACAGCCTTACTAGCAGCAAAGTCTCTTCAAGAAGTTTGTCTCCCCAGTTATCCTGGTTCCACTTTGGGGAGGTATTTTGCTTTTCTCTTCTTAAAGCCACAATGATTTTGTTGTTATGGTTCAAGGAGTGGCCCTGCTAAATCAGCACAACTGAGGGGCAAATAATCTCCAGCAGAGTGAGGGCTGAGGAACTTTACACTATTCAGGAAATTGTAACTGGGAACTGCGTTCTCTCTTCTATTTAGAATATCAACAGTTCTCATTTCTTTCGCCAAAGGTGTTCCACTTAAAGCTAGTGTCATGCTGAGGCAGTTCAGAGACCATAGAAAAACCCCCACAGAACCAGAACAGTTTTATTATAGTGCTTAGACAAGTCATTATCATGTATCATCAAAAATTGTTCTCATGACAAAAATTTAGATTTAGCTTATCAATGTGATCAATTGCATCTTAGTAAACAATACAATTGCAGACAGTTACTTCCCATTAAGAAATACTGTAAAATATATACAAATGTTGTTTCAGGCAAATGTCCTTTTTGCAAGTATGCAAGTGGCATTTCTGAACAAGTGCATTTTTGAACTTTCATACTGAGTCCTATCAAGTGTGCACAGAGCTCTCAGTGTTTTGTGAAAACTATCTTAATCATAGTTTACTCACTTTTCAAAGACCCTTTTCTGAAGAAGTCACAAGGGTACAAGATTTATATACATAAAGGCACAGCAATTCTGTTCAAACTAGCTATGTTACAGTACAATGAAGTTCAGTCAGTGCCTTTCATGCAACAAAATTCACTAACAAACTTGAATCCTCTTCCAGTAAATTAATTGCACAAGGACTGTATCCTCGCCATTCAGTAAAATGAACAGTTAGCTATTACTTAATCAACTCAAATATACTACAGAAACGTGAAAGAAAGAAGTATGTAAAATGCTTTTTCTTTTTACCTAAATTTACTAGACCTTCAAGGCTATTTCTCCTCAAAATAAAATATTTTTCAACTGAAAGCAAAAGTAAAGTTTAATTTGTGCTAAGGTGACAGACTAAACTTTTCTACAGTGTTTTCATAAAAATGATATATTTTATATAGGTGCTGTCCTAGGCGACATCACCACCAGCTGCAGAGCAGCCAATTCTAAAGATCTATAAGGAACCGAGATTAGAAGAAGACCTTGAACTCAGAGGCCAGATTCAGATCACGTATAAAGGATACGTCATTAGAACTAGATCCCTATTTGGTCCAGTGCTTAAAAAGACTGCATGCACTGGACACACAGTTCTCCCTGTCAACTGATTCAAAGTATTCTCCCCTTCTCCCTCCCCAGTATCAACTTCAAGTTGTTATTTCTGAAGCTTTAGAGTTTTCCTAGGCATCAGTTGCATTGAAAGAATATTTGCACTTTTACATGTCTGCAGCTGAATAATTAGAAGGCAGACTGTATGTTGCCATCAAGCTAATCCACTCCCAAAGCTTTGAGCTGCCGTTCAATCTCTTCATCTGAAATAGTAGCAGCTTTTGATGTTGATGCAGACGGTAAGCCTCTGGCAGCTGATGGAGCTTTGGCCATCTAGAAGACAACAAAATTTTTCTTTAGTCAAAAGCATATACATTATGACAACCTGAATTCTACAAGAGGACTTTAAAAATAAGGGCTTCTACAGTAAACTTTTTTTTAAAAAAAGGAATGAATGGAAAGAAGCATATGAACCGAGTAAAAATCTCCATACCTTTCCAGAGATTTCAATTCCAATCTCATCAAGCACTTGGTTAACAATATCCTGGCTTTCTTCCTCTTCATCTGATGCATCAAAAATATCATCCAGAGTATCATTAACTTGGAAGAAAAATAAAAATCCACATTGCATTATGCAAAAAGATTACAAAAATAACTGAGTACTATCTTTCTGCTCTCCCAGAATATGGCGATAATACCACTGAATAAGACACCAAGAGAAAGAACCGGTACATAGGAGAACTTTTCTTATCTCTGCTTTGCAAAGTATGTGAAATTAGCTAGAGGGACACCAGAGTAAGCCATGACTGCTTTCATAAAATGCTTGGTTTCGGCAAAGTCATTCAGTTGCTCTATTTTTTCCCGTTGATTTAACTTAAGTCTTAATAGTTCCATAAAAATCCCTTTCTTGTTCTTCCTAACCAAACCAATTGCAAAATTGTTAATTACTCAGCTAATTTCCAAGTGACAAAAATGCAATTCTGAGCTGCTGAGTTGTTCACATCTTGCTTGACAACACTGTTTTGTTGTTGTTAGGGCCAACACCGTGGTAGGGATAGGAAGGCTAGCAGCACCAGGAAGTTCTGTATGACTTAGTTGACAGTGGACAGATGCAATCAGTAAGGAGGCGGGGTGAAGCTGACTTCTCCTTGCCCTCCAGAAAAGTTGTTTGTGGCTTAAATTAAAAACGGAGAGACATGCACATACAAATCCTGTACCACCACCACATAGGCAAAGCTGAGACGATCAGTAATCTTTAAATTAAATTCAAATTTAAACGTCCAGCCCCTGAACAGAAAACACCAACAGAACTAATAGCCACAAAAGGCAATTTTTCAAGTCCCCCTGTCAGTTATGCCAACAAGGTTTTGAACCGGTGTCAAGCTCTTTCCTTCTAGTTGGTTCTTTCTAGATGTATGATGGGTGTTTTGCCTGTTGATGGGAGGGAACGGGATTTCTGTATCTATTGCTTCTAGAAAGCATAAGGCAGAGACACACATTGGTGTTTTGCTCTTCATTTGCTGACAATAATCTCATTAATTGTAGAACTAAAACCTCAAGATAGTATTTCTAGCTGGGTCTAACCCTTCAAGAGCGCTGTGGCCTGCAGCTAGCTATTCACTACAGTGCAGAACTTACTCATTTCTTCAGTCATTTCCATCTTCATATTTTCCTTCTGGAAATTCTGCATAGTTTGCAGTGTCTTCTGTGGGTCCATTTTCTTGTTAACTGCTTGCATTGTCTAACAATATTAAAAATTGTTTAATATTAATTGTACAACAAGACATGAGTAAAGGCCAATGTATGTACACAGAAAGAATAAGACTTTTCTAATAAAGGAGTTCAGACCAAGTTTGGCCTTCCTTGCCCTCTTGCGTTCTGTGAGAACTGTGGATACTTGAAGGGTCAGTAAGTACAGTCAGCACCTATTAAGAAATATTGCCATCTATTACAATAATAGGTATGCTTTTAAATGTATGCGTCCTTCTTCCACTGCCCCCCTTTTCCTGGCCTTATATCAGGAAAATCTGCCTGATCTTAGTGGAAAGAATAGGATAGAATTTCCTAACTTGTAAGCTATCCATCTTAAAAAAGATAAAGGGCTGCAGGTTTTTTATTCAGTAAGGAGCATTTTTTTCAACCACCACTAGAGGACAGGCATTCCTCTTGTTTATTTATGCTATTTCATGGAAAAAAATGAGTTTTCTCTGAAAAGCAAGTGTCAAGTTGTTCAGGAAGTACTTGTTAGCTTAGGGTGAACCTTTGTACTGGGTAGGGATATCCCTGTCACAATCTAATAAACTTCCCTGTTTTTTACCATAAGTATGCAGCACTGCCTTTGCAGCCACTGGTTTTTAATACTTCCTTCTTCTGTCCTAAAAAGCGAGCTACTCTCTCTCTCATGGCATGCCAAAAACTAAATATAAACATGAGCAATTTAAAAGAAAAGTCTTAACCATCTGTGGGAAGATTAAAGAGTTGGTTAATTAAAAAGGGGTGCTAACAAGCTAGTATAGCCACTACTGACTTTCTAGAAGCATTGTAGAAGCACTTCTGCCTTAGTTTTCGATTTCGTTTAAAGTCATAATGCATTAAGCTTCTATTATCACTTGAATTTCAAGCGTTGTGTTCATGTTCACATTATTTGAATTAAAAAAAAAAATGTTCTGCACTTAAGAGGACATTAGTGTTTTGGAACTCTTTTTCTGATATCCATCTATAATTTTAGTAAAAGTTTGCACTAAACTGATACAGAATTTATATATATTCAGAAAATAAAGGTCAGATGCATGAATAAAAACCAGGAGACTATTCACTGGATTTTTACTATATGCCAAATTCGTGCTAGATATGCTAAAAAGTAAATAGGTAGTATTTTGTAAGCTTCACATTCATGTATTTGCCTTGAGTGTTGAGGCAATCGATCACGTTTATTTTTCACTGATGGCTGTATGAGACTGAGAACAATTTTTAAGCTTCCAAATTAACTGCTGAAGATTTTTTCTTCTTTTCCAAGCTTTCTGTTAATAAGAGAAGAAATTTTTACTTTAAAAGTGACCAAAATAGTCTAATTCATTCCTCTCCAATAACATTAGCCAAAAAAGTTCATGGAGGTACCCTGCTGTCTCTCAGAAAGCACCTCTTTTCTGAGTCCTGGTTTGATTTTTATTTACTATTTCTACTCACTTTCTCTCCAAGATTAGTTTGTGACAGTTCGGTTTTAAGAGATTTAATCCAAGGCATCTCACTGATAAACAACCAAGAAAGAGCAAGTCAACTATGTAATAGCTTAAAAAAAAAAATCAACTTATTCATGTGCAAGACTGGGTTACAGGAACGTTGAATAAGGTAACAAGTTGTTTATGCAACCGGTCAAGCTAGTCAGACAGGTCACTACTTTGTGAGCTAGTTCTGGAAGACGGAAAGCTTGCTGCAGAGCCACAACTTGGTATCAACAAACAGCTGATGTTTGTCAACTTATTGCTCCTAAAAGATACCTGATGGAAAAGTCCTGGTAGTAATTACTTTGTGCCTTAATCTGCATCACATTACTGGATTTACTTGGTGCATAACTGGATGTAGCTCAGACTGTGATAAAAGCATAGCTTGCCTACAGTGTGTCCATTAGTGTGTGCTAATTCTGTATCCTAAACCTTGAGCTGAACAATCCAGCTTGCCAACAGCAAACTCCCTATTTATCAATTCAAGGAAATAGGGAAAAGTTTGCAATTAACTCAGGTACCTGAGATTTTTCAGAATTTTTTTCATAATCTACGAGATGAGATTTGTGAGAAAAATACTCTAATGCTCTAAGGAAAGAGCACGGAGAGTGAGAATGACAGGGAATTCCAGACTAAATTTATTTAGAAATGTAAACTGGTAACGAATGCCTTACTTTTCATACAAGCTAGAAAGCTACAGGGACACACTGCCTTGATTTCTGGATGAAGCATGCCCTACTTTAATTTTTCCCAATAAAAACTGCTTGTGACAAGTTTTACAGGCAAGACGTTGCGCAATGACTTGGGGGGGGGGGCAGTCTACTAAAAGAGTTCTTCCATTGGCATTATGTTTAATTTTTATCTTGCAAGCATTTAACAAATGTCTAGCCCAAGAAAATATGCTTAATTAACTGCTAACTGGCAGGACTGACTAGATGAAAACTTCATACCATGAATCAAATTACACTTTCCTACCAATTCTTCATTGCCGTTTAGAGTATTTAGCAATCCATTTTATCCCTTCAATTATCTTATACAAAATACTACAACTTAACTTTTGCAAGCATAACTCTAAGCTGCTTTGTAATGTAAAAGAATTTATCTTGTAATCTTACTTTTGCTGTAGTTGACATAGCTCCTGCCATCTTCATCTGTGAGTTCATCACCTTTGTTTGAGTTGACATAGACGTAACTTTAGAGCTAACAGCATATGTTCGATTTTTCTGCTTTCGAAGTTGCACAAGCTGTTTTGCTAGAACTTTACAGGCTTCTTTGTTACCAGTCTTAGCCATTTTCTTTATTTCTAGTTCCTATTTCAAAAAAAAGGTTTAAGATTAATTCCATAGTTTTTTCATTCCTATAAAGACTCTATAATTAAGCCTTAGCACTCTAATAAAATTCCAGAAGTTAACTATCCTCTTGTTTTCCAAGAGGCATGTAAACTTACGTGAATATTCTTCCTTGCTTTTCTAGCAGGAGTCTCTAGTAAAAGAAATGAATAAATACAATACTGTTCTGCTCCCACCAGGTAATTAAAAAAAAAAAAAAAAAAAAAAGGAATTACAGTACGACAGTAAAAAATTCCCCAGAAGGTTATGCTTCAACTTCTGTATAACGTCACATTACACAAGAAAATACGTGAACATTCAATTCCATATCTGGATATGGAGTAACACTTCAAAAAGAACTGAAGAAACTATCGCAGGCAGCCAACTACTAGGGCCATGACTCTAGTCTTAGATTCTTACATTCATTGGCTTTATTGCATTGGCAATCAAGCCATATCACCCATGGAATAACCAGAGAATCTACAGGTTCTCTTAAATGCTTTTTCAGTTTAGAGAGAATCTCATCACCTATTTGAAGACTGATTAGATAAAACCAGGTAGCCAATAATTAAATGCACTGTATGCCCATATAAAGTAGCTGGACTCAGCTCGGCACATAATAAAAGCAATCCTATTTGTCTACAACAACATGTGCTAACTGTGCATCTTGGACCATAAGCTGGACACTGCTTCCTTGCAAAAAACAGATTTATTTACTGATACAGGGAGAAACAGTAAGTGATTTAGCCTGGAGGTATCATGGGAAAGTTTGAAACAATTCTGTTAAGTGGGATTTTTTCAAAACACGCCTTTTGATCTGTGACTTCACAACATAAACTTTCTTAACCATTTTTTCCTTTTCAGCCTTTTTAAGTACAGCTCGCCATAGTAACACGGTTCCTCTATGGCTGATCGTGGATTTGATTCTGCCATTAACCAGAAGGGGCATTTAAGAACAGCACTGTGTTTCTTGAGGGGAATATACTTGCTACAAGAATACAGACGTTTCACTTCTTTTATCTGCACTGGCAGCCCAAAAAACTGCATTATAAAGTAGGTATGTTGCTCTGAAAGGGCAAGTGCTGGTCACGAGAATACACAAGACAGTCATGTTCCAAGGGAAGTGTAAACTAACCTACTGCATTAACTTTACTACTATGAAAGATCACGGTTAAGTTTACTATAGAGATCGCACTGGCATAAGGTCTTTTCTGAGAGGCCATAATTTCTGAAAAGAAGCATCATAAATATTATTTTTAACCTAAGGAAGTGCAGATCAGCACGCAAGGAGCGTGAAATTATTCAAATATTACAGCCTTGAAATATATGCAAAGCTGTCTCCTTTGTAACTAGTTCAGAGACCACAAAAACAAACTTCTATAGCATGCCAAGAATATAATTTTATTTTTCAATACCTCAAATATTGTGAAGGATAGGAAGGATTTGTTTGCACAATATCATTCTAACAGCTAACATTAGAAATAGCGATTTTCTTACTGAGATGAAATATCTAATTAGTATTTATAACCCTACTCCCAAACTGAAATACAAACCAACATCAACCATTGCTAAATCATTGCAGATAATCCTGGCGCACAAATTAAAAGCCTATACATAGATGACTTTATCACTAATTAAGAAGAATTTGGATAGTGAGCTGCCATACGTTATTTGCTTTTGAGAGGTGTGGTGTAACTGCCTTGAATGAGCTTGCATTCTTCTGAAAAATCAAAATTCATACAGTCATATGAGGTTACTGAACTGAAACAGAACTGCCTGCATAATTTAGTAAGGTATTTTTACATGTAGGGTTAATATAACAAGGATCTCTGGGAGTAGTATCTCCTAGTTAAGGAAAACGTTCTTTCTGTGGAAAGCACGTAACAAAATGTTCTGAGACTGACTGGCAAGCTCTCCGTTGTTTTTTACCTGATCTACCTTTGAAAATTTGTATTTGTTGTCCATTGGTTTTCCCTTCCCTAGCAGTGGATTTTAACTTCTGCAAAGACATATTTCTCCTTAGAGTTTTCTTTGTCCCCATTTCTACAAGAAAAATAGAAAGCCAGCATATCTGAAATAGTTTACTGTCACGAGTAATCAAAACTGCAGTGTGAGTCTTCATGAAAATTAAGGTTTTTCCCAGAGTGAGAATATTTCACTCTGAAAAATGCCTTACCTACTAGTAACCTATTACATCTTATATGTTCAAGGCTTAAAGAAATAACTCATCTCTGAGCTCTTTTTGAATCTTATTCCCAAATCCTGAGATTCACGTGACCTGCTGCCATCAAACAACACATTAGTAGCAACTGAAACAGTGACTGGATTTACATAGCTTTTCCCACAGTCTGAGCATGTCTTCATACATCAAAACATACCATCTGCCACATCAATTTATCCAATTATACTGCCATACTGGTGCAGCATCCATTCACTGACTATTTGATAGCTCGCATACAGAGTTCTATATAAATCTTAATTTAGTCAGATAGTAACAGGGAAGTTCCATAAGAATGAAAAGAATAACCGTAACCAGGTGATACCCTATGGACTTTCAAGTACTTTCTTCCGTTGAAGAGTCATGGTAACACATGACAGCACTGAACACTCCTGTTAGTTTTTCACTACTAGGCCATTGATATATAAACCTATTTGAAAAAAATAACCATCTGAAGGACAGGGAACACTAAGGATGGAGGAAAAAAAAATGAATGTAGTTCTTCAATCAAAAAGCATTGGTTCTGGCTTTTCCCATGTTAAAGACTGAAAATCACTTTTAGATGGTAAATTTTTTCCAACGCTCACTGATGTGCACAATTTTGATAACTCAGAAGTCAAATGTGGATTTGAGGGGAACACAAATTTTTCAGGATTGAATTATACATTGAGTCATACCTTAGCACTTTGCAAGTTTTCTGTGATATTAGGAAGTTTTTTGTGCTTAAAGAGTAAAATAACATTCTGTGCTCTACTTACCAGCTGTTTTTCCTGTTTTTCGAGTGCTGCTCTATCTCTGGTTATAGCCCTCTGTGTACCTCTTAACTCTCGATTCTGCTCCTTTATTATATCTGGAAAGAAAATATTTATAGCTGAGAAAAGTTTTCAGTACTGCATAAACATTTGGTCTGCTGAGCGTTCTGCAGACATGCAGTATGTTGAACAGTTTCCTTTCATTCAGAATGAACAGCCAGCTTTCAGTAGTACTGCTAAGTCCTGACATTTTGAATACATGAAATACTGACAAAGTTTATTTTTGCGTATGCCGTGCTATTATGTTTCAACAATACAGACCCTATTCAAAAAAACCCATCTGTCTTCACACGGGTCTTTGCACCATAGCAAGAGCCTTACTCGCACAGTAAGAATTAGGTACATATACTTCTCCGCAAGTTTCAACTGTAACTCAGCAATAATATATTCCCTGTAAGCTCGGATCTCCTCAACAAATCAGGCCCAACTGCAACAGGGAGGTTAGCTGGAGAAACCTTTTATTTGAGACCACAGAACAGTTAAGGAGTTACTGAGTCCATGAAAACAGCGAAAGTACTTCTAGATGCAAGTGCTGGATCCTGCTTTTCCCTGTCCTTGATCTGGCTCAGTGGAGATGTTTCTCCTCCACAAATGTACAGCGCAACTTCAAGTCAGACTATAAAGACATGATTTTCAAACCTTTTCGATTAGCAGTCCCCTAAAAATATTTAGGTATGAAAACAGAAACCTTTGAAGTGAATTTAGGTTTCCTGACAGCTAACATAGCAAGCAGAAGCTTTAACATAGTCTGTCAGGTGAAATGTATCATCCTTCATTGGAGTCTTTTCCACTCTATTTAGTAAATTATTTACTGCTAAGACCCACTTATTAAATGCAACTATGATTTACAATATAGGCATCAGTCACTTTAGTTGCCTTTGACTTTTGTTAGGCTTTACAGCAAGCACTTTGCGTGTTTCTAACACACATAAGTAACATCACAGCAGGGCATTACTACTTTATTTATGGAGTTTGTAACGTGAAAGGAAAAAAAAAAATCCAAAAAGGCTGAGTTGTACTATGAAAAATGAAGCCATGAAGGATAAATTGCAGAAATTGTCGTCATCCTTTTCATTTTTTAAGACTGGCACCAATCTTTCTAGAAACAGACAGGAGGAATTCACATTCTTCTTTCCCAAACAATTAGTGATACTGCAAAACATCCATGGCTGAAATTACTTCAGCGTTAATGCGTTCCAACTGAACGCCCAAAACATTAGGGGCATTTTAAAGAGGAAGGCATAGATATAACCCCCCCG